GCTGGCCTCTGGGAGGCCATTCTGATGTGGCGCTACTAACTGGGTGTAGGATAGAGAGTGGGGTGTGAGTTCTGAGAGTGGCGAGATACTGGAACGAACTCTGTTATGATAATTGTTTGAGTTGGCTCAACATCAATGTCATTTCAATTGTTATCCTCGCAGGTTCTTCTTGTAATTGGTTGTTGGGAGTTTGTCAGAGAGTGAGAAACAGTGTGTGTCTTCTCCCCATCTGTGCATAGCTGTATCCCGCTGCCTACTCTGATCTGTGTGCAGTGTGGACTCTGTCTCCTCTCCCCCTTCTCTTATGCATGTATGGGCGTCTATGAGATTGTCTGTGTGTGAGTGGCGGTAAAAATCGTCGGACAACCAAGTTCATAACAGATTCCTCTACATCTACATACATGTCCAGTATTCCACGCTTCGAAACTCTTACCTTGCGTGACAAATGAGTTGTTTCCCAGTCGCAGATCAGCGATACCTCCTAGTATGGATGGGAAATACAACGTGGATAAGATTGTCGCTGAAAGTACCTTTCAGACTGGACGTAGAGGCAGACCACAGCGACAGTATAAGGTGAGATTCGCTTATCAGGATCCAAGTGAAGATCGCTGGTTTACAAGGGAAAATTTGCTAGAGTCTGCACCTCATATTGTATCTGCTTATGAAAGAACGAGAAGAGGAATAAGTATTATAGATAGATGAAGGTTTTCTCAGAGCACTTCGAAATTAGGCCGGCGAGAGCAAAAGGGCCTTTACCCGATAATGACCCTGTTCGGCAAATGCAGCATAGAGGGGTCACTCGCCAGGGCCCAACTCGTGAATGCAGGTCAAAGGACATGTTCTCTGGGTCAAAAGTCACATCCTAACTAAGTAACCGCCAATGTCAAAGGTCACAGTTGTGCCCTGTACGAACAGCTGCAATATCTGGACTTGGGAGTCATCTCTGTTCGTTCAGGAGGGTGCGCAGGTCATGTCTGTTCAGGTAAGAGATGTGTCTGTACGTACAGTATGTGTCTGTTCGTGCAGTATGAATGTCTGTTCGTACAGAATGTGTGTCTGGCCAAAAGGAAGTCAAAGGGCAGGTTCCCAGTTCTGTCTAAGTCTAATAGGGGGTCTAGATTCAGACACCCAGTCCGAAATCCAGGCCAAATGGCCGCAGCAGCAGCAGACCCTGAGGGGAAAATACTGGGACACACACATATGCATGGGTCTGGGACTGAAGGAGGCCCAAAGTGCCAATACCGACCAATGCAGGGGAGGCCAGCAGTATAAAACAATAGGCCAGCCTCCCTTGACATCAGATTCCCACTGGCATTATCAGCGTGGAAGTGCTGCGTGCACTTGTGCGCTGGCTAGCTGGGTTAGCGCTGGAGGAGAAGCTAGGCTGGAAGGAAGAAGGAGCTGGGYGCTGGCTTGCMAGRKGCAGCCATAGCTGCACCAGCCAAGTAGCATAGTTAGAGGGTTAGTTGTTAGTCTACAGTGARTAGCATTCAAAGTAGATCTTCATGGTAGGAGTGTGCATGTATGATGAGAGAGGAGGACTAAGACTGAGATCTTGAGAGTGAGAGACAGAGAGGGAGAAGAAGGACAGGTTGACGAATGGCTATGGTGACTACTTACCTGTTCTGCGCTAGCTCGTTGCTGTGAGAGGTGGCGCTGGCTAAGCTGAGCCCCATTATGTTGATGTTCGAGAGAGGGACAGGTCATGTTGTTGAGCGCCTGGAGACATGAACTCAAGATACTCTTTATAATGTGTTTGAGATAATATGAGCTGAGCGACTTGGTTCTCATCTCATCCCCATTCTGCGTCGTGTGCGGAGTCATAATCTGTGTGAATGGTGAAGTGACATGCATGGCAAGTGTTGACAGTCAGGTCCCTTGCAATAGCGATCAAACCCGATCCCCGTCAAGTGCCTTTCTCACGGAAGTAAAGGGCGGCTTAAGGCTGGAGCCGCCCGACACCGGTACCCCATTCAGGGTCCTTCTAGTTGGAGGGCCAACACTGGAGATGCAGATGCAAGTCCACCATAGTCAACGGTGAGTCTCCTTCCCGGTTCCACCTCCTTTCTCCTTCTGCCTCTGCTATTCCTTCATAGCCTAGCCGCAGGTTTTTCTCCCTCCCCTCTAAAGCCTAGGTCTACTTCCACCTCCTCCCTGCTTCTCCATGGCCATGTAGGTCTTCACCATCACCCTTTAGCTACACCTCCTTCTAGGAGCTCTGCCACTTCTCCCTCTCGGCAGAGCAGCAGCATGACTGCTGGGTGAATGAGAGAAATGTTCACTGCACCGAATCATACATTTGATACGTCCCGGCCTCCAGTACCTCAGTTGGGTACTAGCTGCCTCTACCCGCCTGACTTGGGTGCACAAGGCCTACCTCGTGTTCCCTCCTTTTGGCATGAACATCACTGCAGCCTGAAACATAGCAATAGGCCCTGAACCTATACTTTTTCCCACAGATAAGCTCCCCTTCCAGGGCCTGCCAAATTGCTGGAAAATCCCTACCGGGTCCCTAGCCAATTCCACTATTGTCCCATGGCGCCAAACTACCCCCCAGTAATCCTACCGCTAACTTTCAGTACTGCCCCTGGCCGTCCCTCTATCCCTACATTATATATGTCTGAGGCATAGCCGCACACACATGGCCAACAGAGTTAGCACACTGACCCAGACTTGAACTCAGGCAAGCACACAGCACATGCACCTTAGTGGTATGCCACACACATACAGTTGAAAAACAGAACAAATCACAGTAGAACAGACTCAAACTCGGAATACTTGGAAAATAGACCAACAGAACAACATTTCCTCAGAACTTGCAGGAATCTCAGACTGCATGTTTACATATCCATGAGATGTGGAGGCATAAGGATACACGTAAATTTCATAAAAAGGGAGAAGAGGAAACCACGCCACTCTAGAAAAAGCAAGACGTAATGGGGCAAAGATAGATCTAGATGATGGGTTTTGAATAACCACTCACCAGATGCTTGTGGTGGACTCTGTTCAGGATTTTCAGCTCCTGTCGGAATTCCTGGGATTTCACAAGGTTCATCTTCTTAATAGCAGCTTCCTGAACATCCGATCACAGAAAAGATAGCAGGTATAAGCATCAGCACACTTATACATCCAAGTGAGTTGAGGAGCAACAACATATTCAGATCAGAATGTGTCATAAATAGAAAGGATTCACGACCACACAGAGTCAGTGTAACTGAAGCAAGCTCGTCTGAATGGCTGGGTGGCAGGCCCAAGAATCACCACTTGAGAGGGATGACATCAGCAATGCACAGGTTTAGACTGAACCAAGACCGACTCAACACACACCAATGAACCCAAACAGCGACTCAACAGGCGAGGTGGGATTGGGGGAGAGAGTCATTCATAGGGGATGCATCTCTCTCTCTCTCTCTCTCTCTCTCTCTCTCTCTCTCTCTCTCTCTCTCTCTCTCACACACACACACACACACACACACACACACACACACACACATAATACCGGCATGTGAAAGGCTAAGCCTAGCCCATCTGGTTTGTCTGAGTGCACAATTGCTCGGGTGGGCGTGTGACCCGCCAAGGTACTTGTATGCTTGGAAGATCCTCGAGCCAGGTACTTTCATGTGGCTGTGCCCATGTAATAGATGGTAAACACTCCGCGAAGGTCGGAATACATTTGGGTAGTGGGTAAGTACCTTTGGAGGCCCAGTGCACAGGTCCAGTAGTCCGAGTCTAGGGCGTGTAGCCTGCAAAGACATTTCCCGCCAAAAGGAGGAAGGTACTGGGAGCTTGGCAGGTCAAGCAGCCTGGCGTATCTTCGGGAGGAGTAAAGTGCTCCTCCTCATTTTTGCTGTGTGCAAGTTTGGCGTTATGTTGCTGGAGTGAGCGCTTGGTCTGTTCAGCACTGGGAGGAAGAAGGTCGCCTGGGCCCTCCAGTCAGCTATGGTGGAGCAGACCAGGGAGGAAGGCTCCGAGGTGTAGAAGTAGGAGGAGGAAGAAGGTGAGCAAGGAGGAGGGTGACAGGGGTGCTTACCTGCCTGTAGTCGACATCTTCATCTTCTTGGTTGGCACTACAGCTGGAAGGCCCCATAGGGGGTCGGCTGTAATCAAGGAAGACTTGAGGGCTGAGGTAGGCGTGGCGGCCATAGTAGAGGGCACATAAGCTTTATCTTGTCCTTTCAACATCGGAGCAAGGCTCCACTAGTCCGGCATAGCTACCTACGAGTTGAAGGTGCAAGAAGGTGTAGGACATGGCTACGATGGACCTCATGAAGTGCTGGCAGCAAGGAGGAGATTTGGACATTGGTTCTGGTTTATTCTTTCATTGTTATTACTATTATTTACTGTGAAGAACCAACGACAATGAGGCACAGCCCTCAGAGATAACCCTTTTCCCAAGGTTACAGATCCATATTCCCCACTCCCCTTACCTTTCTTTGACCAGAGGCTGCTCACCTAGGAGGCCTTAGTATGCCCCGGCGAGAGCAGGTTAACGGGGACCCTAATTTTCAGACCACTTGCCATGCCATTTATAAGAAAACCAATGGGTCATTTTAACCAAGCTTGCCACCAAGTCATAGCGTGGAGAACATACTAACTGCCTGCAAAAACAAAAACTTTTCGGGCCGTGTGGAGGGCCGGTGAAAAAATTGGGGGGAGATCTGAGTAGTTCGTTTTCAAACTACTGAGGCCTCCCCCACGCCACCGTTAGGCACCCTGGCACTTCACCGACCCGCCAGTTGTAACTTGTCTTCTTGGCGGCCGTCGTGTGGTCCGTTTTCATCATCGTTAGTGCCCGCCCGTCACCAGCAGCACCAGCCCGAGCAAGAAACAGGAGGCAGCAGGAGGCAGCCGGAGCAGGCAGCCGGTTGAGGTGGGCTGCCACCAGCTCTCTCTCTCTCTCTCTCTCTCTCTCTCTCTCTCTCCACGCTTCCCTTCTCCTCCTGTCTCTGTCCTTCGAACACTTCACCATCCAATCACCTTTTTTTTTTTTTTTGCCCTTGTTACGTTAGCGACAGCGCCTTTCACTCCGTCCGGCACCTCCACCCCCCCCATCCTCCACACGTTGACTGACTCGACTCGCTGCCCCCTCTTCCCTCCTTCCTTTCTCCCTCCTCCTTCCTCCCTTTCTCCCTCCTCATCTCTCCATTCTTCCTCGTCCATCTCTCCCTCCTCCTCCGTCCCTCCTCCGCTCCCCTTTTTCGTGGTCTATCTCTACCTCTCTCCTTCCTCCCTTTCTCCCTCCTCCTTTCTGCATCCTCCTTCCTCCCTTTCTCCCTCCTCTATGCAGCAACCCATCTCTCCCTCCTCGCCATTTGTACCTCCTCCATGCAGCACCTCACCTTTCCCTCCTCTTTCCTCCTCCCGTTCTCCCTCCTCCTTCCTCCCTTCTTCCTCCATCTCTCCCTCCTCCCTTTCTCCCTCCTCCTCTCTCCCTTCTTCTTCATCCATCTGTCCCTCTTCCTTCCTCCCTCTCTCTCCATCCATCTCCCCTTCTTCTAGTTGCCATCCATTCCAAATTACAAATCTCAATGTCGCATTTGCAGTTTTTTTTCCTCCGTCCTTTTCAAATGTTGTTTCCACAACTCGATTTTTTAATGCCCGTCTTTTTTTTTTTTTTTAATGCCCGCTGGAATGTTGCATAGCCGAGGGGGATTAGAGGAGAGAGTGGTGGAGCTGGAAAAGGGGAGAGGGTTTTCCTTCAAGGGGCTGACCACCATTGCGGAGTCGTTTTTTTGGCGCCTGGGGGGCAGGCCGCGACCCGAAACTTGAAAACCGGGTCCGGCAGCCCCTCCTTTTTTTCGTTTGAAAACGGCCCGATCTTTGCCGTCGATTGTCTCAGATCGGCGG